AGAATGCAACTTATTAATCGTATTAATATTTGTCCATTGAAACTTACGAATCCATATTCCGAATGCAACTTATAATCGATTTGCCTGATCCGATCCATGTATCGTTGGAATTTGGGGGTATTTGAGAAGGTACCTGGAGGAGAGTCATTTGTAACAATTTAGGTGCACCTAAGTGCATTTTTATATTGAGATTAGCAGCTTGAGAGAGGCTATACACTAAGGATAGATTGACTACATGGGAATTTTTAACAGTTTGAATCCAATAATGAGAAAGAACTGAAATAACTAAAATAATTTAAAGTATAAATGTGGAAGTTAAAACTGCCAAACATCTGCTACAAATTCCTGAACCTGGTGTCACAAGTGCACGAGCTACTAGAATAATACATACATGGGTCTGAAATAAGTACAGAGCTGTCTGAATGGAAATACACAACTAAATAAAAACAAAGAAGGGGACTCCAGGAGCTGTGGGCGCTGAGCAGTTGTACCTCAAGTCTCCGCTGAGCTGATCAATCCAAGCACGCTAATAGCTGCCGTTGAGACCGACTCCAAAATCTGCACAAGACGTGCAGAGTGTAGTATGAGTACAACCGACCTCATGTACTCTGCAAGTGCCGAGCCTAACCTCGACGAAGTAGTGACCAGGCTAAGACGGGTCACTTACTTTACAACCTGTACGCAGTATATAATAAAGGCAGAAAAAGAAAATACGGAACAAGATAAGACAGTCAACTGAAAATAGTAGCCACAACCTCAAAGAGTAAACCGGTGTCGTTCAGAATTACCAATCCTTAGAGTTTCACATAACAATACCGGAAACCAACACGACTCGAGGAAATAGAAACACATAGGTTGTTGCGGCGTGCAACCCGATCCCACCGAACAACACATAATCCTCCCTTGTTTCACCGTAATAACATCAAAAACAACAAATAATATATAGATATGTTGCGGCACGCAACCCGATCCCACCAAATAACGATATCAGTATCATAATTTGCCCTTATTTCACCGTAACAATCCACCCTTATTCCACTGTTGCAGCATGCAACCTGATCCCACCGTACAGTACGAATTCACCCTTATTCCACTATATCAATCCACCCTTATTACATCTGATGTGGCGAGCAGCTCGATACTACCATATCAGTACCAAATACTCAATATGCACAGTCAAATCAACAGTTGAAACCAGAAAAACCTCTACGATCAATAAATACCAAACTGAACCAAAAAGGAAACCTTGTACAATATAGGAAACTACACAATTAATACTACACAGCAAGACCAATTTAGTAATTGACAATTAAAAGTTGCAAGTAAGTCAATTTAAGCAAATAGCGGGGAATCATGAAACTATAAAAATAGCTAACATCATTAAGAGGAGAAGATATTGATTAACAGGTAGCAGTTAAGCATGGAAAGCATTTAGAGCATATAACATTTAAGGCAGGGAAGGAAATAATTAAGGAAAAGCGGAAAATCAGGGAAAACAGATAATTCAGCGGCGTATAAGCACTCGTCACCTCGCATATAACCCGCTCACATGAGAATCACATAGCACATAGTCTGAAGGTTCCTAATTCCCTCAAGTCAAGATTAGACACAACACTTACCTCAGTCCGCAGTCAATTCAAAGCTCTACCGGGCTTTACCCTTAGAACCCTCCTCCAAACCACTCGTATCTAGCCACAATTGACTCAATAATATCAAATATTGCTAAAGGAATCAATTTCAATGCATAAATTTAGAATTTTCAAACTTTCCCCCAAAAAGTCAAAAATCGACCCCAGACCCGCTTGGTCAAAACCCGAGGTTCGGACCAAAATCTATTTTTCCATTCACCCTCGAGCCCGATTATGTAATTTGTTTCAAAATACGACCTAAATTTGAGGTCTAAATTCCAATTTTACTAAAAACCCTAATTCTACCTAAACCCCCAATTTCCACCATGAAAATCCTAGATTTTAGGTTGAAAACTTATGAAATGTACTAGGTAATTGAAAGAAAGTAGGTTAGAATCACTTACCAACAAATTTGGGAAGAAAAACTCTTGGGAAAATTGCTTCTAGGGTTTTCTAGATTTGAAATTTTGAAAGAATAGCAAAAATCCCGTAATTGGGACCGTTTTATCAATGGGCGTCAGGTGTTCATCGCGTTCGTGTAAACCCTGACGTGTTCGCGAAGAGCAAAGCCTTAATGCCTTATGCGATCACGGGAGACTCCACGCGTTCGAGAAGGTATAGCCCGCCTCACCTTCACGTTCACGAGACAGGACTCGCGTTCGCATAAAGTCACCCCTGATTTCCCTCCCCCCACCTCAATACACTACGCGTTCGCGTGTGACTGGCCGCGTTCGCGTAGAGCAGGCCCCCTAGTGCTCCGCGTTCGCGACCGTTGTCTCGCATTCGCGTAGAAGAAAAACCCACCCATCCCAATTCACACTTCGTGTTCGCGAGAGTACCTTCGCGAACGTGAAGAAGGAAACCAGAAGACACCTGAAGCTGCAGAAAACCAGATTTTCTAAGTTCAATTCACTCCGTAGCCTATCTGAAACTCACCCGAGCCCTCGGGGCTCCAAACCAAACATGCATACAAGTCCAAAAATATCATACGAACTTGCTCACACGATCAAATCGCCAAAATAACACCTAGAACTACGAATTGAACACCAAATCAAATGAAATTTTTCAAGAAACTTTAAAACTTCTATTTTCACAACCGGACGTCCGAATCACATCAAACCAATTCCGTTTCTCACCAAATTTGATTGACAAGTCATAAATATAATAATGGACCTGTACCGGACTCTGAAACCAAAATACAAATCCGGTATCAACAAGACCAAACATCAGTTAATTCTTAAAAATCATTAAACTTTCATACTATCAATTTTCAACAAAAATTAATAACTCGAGCTAGGGACCTACGAATTCGATTCCGGGCATACGCCCAGGTCCCAAATTATGATACGGACCCACCGGAACAGTCAAAATATCAATTCGGGTCCATTTGCTCACAACGTTGACCGTAGTCAACTCAAATAAAATTTTAAGGCAAATTTTTTATTTTTATCAGTTTTTAACATAAAAAGTTTTCCTAAAAAAATACCTGGTCTACGCACGCGAATCGAGAAAAGCTAAAATGAGGTATTTAAAACTTCGGAACACATAATTAAATTCTAAAACATATGATGACTTATCGGGTCATCACAGTCAACCAATACTGTTCCTTGTGTTCATCAGAGTTTGAGACCACCTCTCATTTGTTTTTAAGTACCCCTACTCTACAACTATATGGGACAATATTCTGAAATAGCAAGGGATAAGAAAGCAGGCTCTAAGTTGGCAAGATGAGCTTAAATGGATGGCACCCAATTGTAAAGGTAAAACCCAGTGCACATGTGTTCAAAATGACAGCAATTGCGAGTGTATATCAAATTTGAAAAGAAAAAGAATCAAATGATCTTTCAAGGTAAAACAAAAGTACAGAAGCTGTCATTCGAATCATCATGCAGGAGATATTCTATAGAGGAAATACACAACTTAAAATCATGACACAGTTGCAATCCTTGAATTTTTATCCTGTTTAGAGTTTTAGCCAGGGACAAAAGTTAAAGGAGATAGAGAGTTCTAATTTGTTGAAATTGTGTTTATAGTATGCAATTTTTTTTGATGCAATACTTCTAGTCGGTTAATAAAATTGTTTTTATTTACAAAAAATAAAAAATAGCTAATAAATATATAATATTTATATAACTGTGTATAATCAATATATACCGACAAAAATATAAACAATGAATTCAGTCGGTTGTATATTTAAGGCCCATAAATTTAAAAACAATAAAGTATTCATTAACACAGCGATTCAAACACCGTCTATGTACTTGTGGGAAGGGGGGAAGTACACAAATAGCCATTTTTAGGACTGCTATTTAGAGATTAACCCTGAATTAAAAATCTTAACTTCATGACTTTGTGCCTTAAAAAATTAAATTGGAAAACTGAAATTCAGGGTCCCCGGCTAATTTATAAATAGCAATCATCTAGAATGACTACCTGGTGTCATTTCTACGGTGGGAGATGGGTACTTATTGGCTAAGCTTAAACTTTAGTAAGCCCGGAGCAGCAAGTGTAAGTCCAGTTACGTTGTCAAATTCTTACTATTGAAATTAATGTTCTATTTAATGATGGGATTTTTTCCTTCCTATACCATAAATGAAATTTTATTACCAAAAATGTGCATAGTATGTAAATTACCCGCCCAGTCCACATTTTTCCTACAAATTTTATACAATTCGTTTATTAGGTATTAAAAGGGCAGAATATTCCTTAAAAAACGCGCTAAAAATAAGGAGAGAATCTTGTGATTAATTGATTCTACATTAAATTCAATTTTTAAAAGGGAAAGAAAATTTCAAATCTGCGTATTTTTCTCTAGAACTACAATTCAAATCTCGAAAAAAAAAGAACTAACAGCTTCTAATACGAACAGATTCAACTACTAACAGCTTCGACGAACTGAATTCAAATTGTAGAATTCAAATTTTCGAGATTCAACAACGCAAAGTTGATAAATTCTGTTCTTCGTTGTTTCTTCTCTCAAATTGTCGATCATATATATCTGTTCTTCATCTTTTCTTCTCTCAATATAGAAATCCAAAAAAACATCAACAACAACAACAAATCATGTCCAAAATCGCAATCATGCTACAATTTAATGAGAATTGGGATAACTATGGCAGATTTAGAGATTTTGAAGTTGATGCTATTTTGGTAGATGAGAATGCAAGCTACAGTATCCTGATTTCTACAATTGTAGAACAACTATCAATTGATACTACAGAAAAAATTGTAGAAATCAAATACATCGTGAACGACAATTGTCCCCCAATGGAGATTAGGAATGATATGGGGGTTCGTGTGTATATGGAGACCAAAAAGGAGAATAAAAACTTAGGTTCATATCCGTTATGTATAAGTGTACGTGATTTCAATATGGAATTGACAATCACCATCGATAACACAAGTGCAGGTTTGTGTAGTTCGAAATTGCTTAGAATTATAGTTTTACGATATTATCTACAAAATTACTACATTTATCTACAATTAGAATACAATTTCGTTCAATGAAAGAGTTAAGCAATATTGTTTTCAGATAAATCTACAAATTGCAATAATTTTACTACAATGTAACTACAATGTCTGACATCTTAAAATAGATAACTACAATTTTTCACTATATCTACAAATTATTTACAAAGATTCTACAAAATTATAATGACACTGTTTATCTCTATTTTGATGCAGGTTCGTCTGGATCCCTAAAGTTACTTGATATGCCATCCTCTCCAGATATAGAGGAATATCAAAGTGAAATAATAAAAGAATATACGCAAACTGATATTGAAGAAGGACAAGTGTATCAGGACAAGCAAACTGTAGCTGCTGCAATGAAGCACTTTTCTGTGGTGCACAAGTTCCAGTTCAGAGTTAAAAGATCTAGTCATAGAAGGTATGGATAAAAGATCATTTTAAGCAGTGTTTTATTCGAGTTATGTGTTTTTTAAATGTAGATAAATTGTAGTTACATTGTAGTTAAATTGTAGTTTATGTTACTTTCCCTTAAAACAATCCTTATTGCACTACAATTATAATTTGTTATTTTTTTTGTAGCTACTGGCTTGTATGCGTTGGTGAAAACTGTAAATGGCACTTCAAGGCAACATCAATTAATGATTCCGCAATGTTCAAGATAAGGAGTTTCAACCGACAACACACATGCTCCTTAATGGACGAAACATTCATACAGCGCAAACGTACTGCAGCTGTAGTTGGTAGCATGGTCATTCCAAAGTATTGTGATCCAAAGACTGTTTACACACCAAAGGACATACAAACTAACATGTTAGCAGAACACGGAGTGAACCTAAGCTACATGCAAGCATGGAGAGCAAAGGAAAAGGCTTTACAGTTTTTGAGAGGGAATCCGGCTGACTCCTACAGCAAATTACCCAAATATTTTTATATTCTTGAGGAGACTTATCCTGGTTCGGTTGTTAAATTGAAGAAGACAGCAGATGAATGCTTCTTATACGCATTTGTTGCTCTTTGTACATCAATAAGTGGTTGGCAACATTGTAGGCCAGTAGTAGTGGTTGATGGGACATTCTTAAAGTCAGCCTACAGGGGGATTATGCTGACAGCAAGCACCATGGATGCAACAGGTAAAAACTATAAAAATTTTGTAGGCAGTGTATAAAATGTAGATACATTGTAGTAATTTTGTAGTTATTTTGTAGATATTACAGAAAAATATAGATAAATTATCTATATTATGAAGATATATTGTAGTTGTTGTGTATTTATATTTTTATATACATCTGCAAATCTGCCAATTAATATTTTATGAATTGATAATGTAGGTACAATATTGCCCTTGGCATATGCTGTGGTTGATTTTGAAAATGACGCATCTTGGAAGTGGTTCTTTGAGCAATTCAAGCAGGCATATGGTGAAAGACCTTCAATGTGTGTTGTTTCAGATAGGAATGAGAGTATAATGAAGGCAACATCAATTGTCTATCCGGGCATGCCACACTATTCTTGTATGTGGCATATTTGGACGAATATAAGGTCAAAATTCAAGAAGGGTCATCTATAATTACATGAATTGTACTTTGCTACAGCAGGGGCATACACTCTGGATGAATTTAATGAAAGGATGTCGAAGATTGAAGAGATAGACCCTCGTGTTAAATCATACCTCTATGATATTGGCTATCATAGATGGTCAAGAGTACATGCAACGGTAAATAGAACTTGGACTATGACATCAAACATTACAGAGTCATTGAATGCTGTAACAAAATATGCAAGAGAGCTGCCAATATTTGACCTATTAGATTATATGAGGACGCTTCTTGAAACTTGGACGAAAGAGAAGCTATTGAAGGCTAAAGGTACCTTCACATACCTTGGGTACAAATTCAACAAAGAATTGGAGAAAAACAGTACATTATCTCAGAAACTTAGGGTAAGATCTGTTTATTTTGTGCAGAAAAAATATATTTTAATACACAGTGTTTCCAGATTGTAGATAAATTATAGGCAAATTGTAGTTTACTTGTAGATTGTAGATAATTTGTAGATAAATTGTAGATATATTGTAGATAATCTATTTTTATGATTGTAAATATTTTTTCTTTGTGTTTGTTCTGCAAATGTAGGTGAGGGCTTCAACAGATCATATACATACTGTGTTAGATGGTGTGAAGCGGTACATTGTGTGTCTAGAAAACAAGAAATGTAGCTGTGGCCAATTCCAACTTGAAGAACTTCCATGTGCGCATGCTTTGGCAGCATTAAGGGACAGGCATGAAACATATGAAACTATTGCTCTCCGTATTACACAAGGGAGAGCCTTCTGCGTACGTATGAAATACCAGTAAATCCTCTTCCCGATGAAAGCAAATGGAATGTGCCACAACATATTTTGGATGAGGTAGTATATCCACCTACGGGAGATAAAAGGCAGCCAGGGAGACCTCAAAAGGAAAGATATAAAACATATGATGAAATAAAGTCTAAGAAGTACAAGGTGTCATATGGAAATTGTGAAGGTGAAAAGGGGCATAAACAAAAAGAAATCTTGCAAAAGAAATGACTCCCAAAAAAACGAAAATCATGTAGTTAGAATGGTTATTCAAACTAACTGTTAGTGAGTTAAAGTTAGCAGATTTTTTTGTGTAATCGTTTAACTTTTTAAAGATCATTATGAAGTATACTACAATTTGTTTATGTGTGTTTAATATGCTTTTATGTATCTTGTCAGGCATCTAAATTTGTCTTTGATATAGTGTAATTAAATTTTTGTATTTATTATCTACAGTACAACTGATATTAAAAAGTAACTTCATGTAAAGTGTTTCCAGATTGTAGGTAAAATATAGGTTAAATGTAGTTAAATTGTAGTCTTTGTAATAATTTGTAGACAATTTGCAGATTAATTGTGGAGTATTTATTTCTTCTTTTTGTTGTGTAATTTAACTTCAACTGACAGTTATATACAGATATTACATAGAACTTGAAGGTAAACAGCTAAAAATTATGATATACAACTACAAAATTTATATACAATAACTACATTGAGTCTTCACAAAATGTAGATATTGTGAAGCTTATTGGTAGGCAAATCGTATTCTAAGATCAAAATACTCATGTTTAATATAATGAAGATACAGTGCTGTAAACAAGCCAATTTATATTCAAGTGAACAACTAATAATGAAACATAAAATAACAAAACAATAAGGTATGCTGCAATAAAAAAATAAAAATTTTGTTCATAAAGTAGTGTATTCTCCTTCAACTACAAATTGGCATCAACTAAACTAGGAAAACAGGACACTATTTCTTCTTTCTCTGGACTCTAGTCTTCTCATTTAAAGCAGGTGCACCCTTCCTCCTTGCTAGCCTTCCTATAACCTCACTTTCACTGATTGACCCATCTTCTTGCTTCTTTGTAGCATAGTCCCATAGGAGAGCTCCATAGCGTGTACGGTGTTGGTCGATATCCGAAATTTCTTCTGAAGGGATTGACAAATCTCCAAGGCTAACATACTCCGCTAAAGCAACCATAAATACCCCACAATCGCTGCATAAGACACAAAAATTTAATTATTTAACAAATGATTATAAAAAAAAAAATTAACCATCTAGAAAGAGAGAATAGTTTCTTTACAGTGATCCTTCCTTTTGCTGTGGAATCTCCGCAACCAACCACTGTATGTTGAGAGGGTCTGTAACTGGTTTCTCAATGTATGCCTTTGTGGTCTTGAAGTCAATGTCTTTACGCTTACCGTAGAAACCAGTGCAAGACAAATACAGAGGGATAATGATTGAAAACTTATCAACACATGATTCAACAGCATTATGACTGTGTGAAGACACCATGGAATCATACACATAAAGTTGCTTGTCCGCTATGTCGAAAAACGACCAACNCTGGGCCTGGGCGGATGGACCGCTTCTGCGGTCAGGGGTCCGCTCCTGCGGTTTCCCCTGGGCCTGGCCCCTTCTGCTTCTGCGATAAACGACCGCTTCTGCGGTCCAAGAGCCGCAGAAGCGGTTATGACAGAAGCAGCAGATGAGGCTTCTTCCTAAGTTTTCAACTTCACTCGAACCTCGACCATTTGACGCTCGGGGCTCCCGAGCCTCGCCCGAACACACCGACAAGTCTGAAATCACGAGGCGGACCTACTCGAACCCTCGAAACTCTCAAAATAACGCTAAATCGAGGAATCAACCCCCAAAACCAAATGAATCAATTCATTGAACTTCAAGTTCTTAATTCTCCTTCAACGGGTCAAAACGCCCTTAAACTACTCGGATGGACACCCAATTTTACGGGTAAGTCTTAATTGATATTTCGGACTTGTACCAAGTTTCAAAATTGAAATCCGAACCCGATACCTATGAAAACAATAATTTCTTAGTTTATTTAAATCTTTGAAACTTTAACTTAACAATTTCACGAAAAAAAATTCATTACTCGGGCTAGGGACCTCGGAATTCGATTACGGGCATATGCCCAGGTCCCACATTTTCCCGCGGACCCTCAGAAATTGCCAAATCACGATTCCGGGTCCGTTTCCCCAAAATGTTGACCGAAGTCAAACTTGGCTTTTTTTTTAAAGAAACTTAAAGAAACAACTAGGCTTATTCTTGCTCAAAACTCTTCTAACTTCCGAACCACCTGTCCCCGCAAGTCATAAATTAGCTAAAGCAAGTGCGAAAAGTATTATTTAAGGGAACAGGGTTTGGAAATGCAAAACGACCGGTCGGGTCGTTACACCTACAATTTCACCTCTTGTTGGCTTTCTTAGGTTCTCGCTTCCCTCCTCCTTATGTAATGTGTCAAGAATAAATTATGGGCACAATTTAATCTCATGGTTCAACAACAGCCTCTTATGACTTTCCATTTACCCTATCTCCTTTCACTTTTAATATTACCCCCAAAAGCTGCAATGGGTAGGAAGGGTAATTAATTTGGTGGGTAGAAAAACTAATGGGTAGGTAAGGGTAATAAGTTAGTTGGGATTTTTTCCTTCCTATACCATATATGAAACTTTATTACCAAAAATGTGCATAGTATGTAAATTACCCACCCAGTCCACATTTTTCCTACAAATTTTATACCATTCGTTTATTAGGTATTAAAAGGGCAGAATATTCCTTAAAAAATGCGCTAAAAATAAGGAGAGAATCTTGGGATTAATTGATTCTACATTAAATTCAATTTTTAAAAGGGAAAGGAAATTTCAAATCTGCGTATTTTTCTCTAGAACTACAATTCAAATGTCGAAAAAAAACGAACAGCTTCTAAAAATACGATCAGATTCAACTACTAACAGCTTCGACGAACTGAATTCAAATTGTAGAGATTCAACAACGCAAAGTTGATAAATTCTGTTCTTCGTTGTTTCTTCTCTCAAATTGTCGATCATATATATATATTCTTCATCTTTTCTTCTCTCAATATAGAAATCCAAAAAAACATCAACAACAACAACAAATCATGTCCAAAATCGCAATCATGCTACAATTTAATGGGAATTGGGATAACTATGGCATATTTAGAGATTTTGAAGTTGATGCCATTTTGGTAGATGAGAATGCAAGCTACAGTATCCTGATTTCTACAATTGCAGAACAACTATCAATTGATACTACAGAAAAAATTGTAGAAATCAAATACATCGTGAACGATAATTGTCCCCCAATGGAGATTAGGAATGATATGGGGGTTCGTGTGTATATGGAGACCAAGAAGGAGAATAAAAACTTAGGTTCATATCTGTTATGTATAAGTGTACGTGATTTCAATATGGAATTGGCAATCACCATCGATAACACAAGTGCAGGTTTGTGTAGTTCGAAATTGCTTAGAATTATAGTTTTACAAAATTATCTACAAATTTACTACATTTATCTACAATTAGAATACAATTTTGTTCAATGAAAGAGTTAAGCAGTATTGTTTTCAGATAAATCTACAAATTGCAACAATTTTACTACAATGTAACTACAATGTCTGACATCTTAAAATAGATAACTACAATTTTCCACTATATCTACAAATTNAACTATAGCACACATTTGTAAGTCTTCATCTTAAACTATAACATAACTACAAATTAACTACAATATGTAATATAGATATACCAATCCTGTCCAAATTACAAAATACAGAATTTTTACATACAAATCATCATCAAATATGATACATAAGGTCCAACCTAAATACAATCACACTATAAATAATTAGAGCAGCATTTATAAGAAATGTCTACAATATATCTACAATGCATAATAAAATGCATGGTCACATATATTTAATATCTATAATATACCCACAATTATACTATAATTCTACTACAAAACAGAAGCCAAAATATATCTTGTGAATTTATTCTTTGATACTTACAGAGTTATTGAGGACTTGTCCGGGGTGAGCAAGGGAATAAAATCAGTCCTTCTTATCCACCTTTTCAACTCCAAGGTCTAACCAAGGCTTGATTTGGTTATCCTTTATTGAAAAGGGAGCCTTCCTCCTGTAACAACAAATAAATGTCCAATAAAAAAAATTACATAATGAATTACATATTTAAACTTTAAAATGCTGAAATGAAAGTGTCAAACTAAGCATTCATACCTCTTAGAAACTTTGTCAGTACGATGGTATAACCACTTGTTGAACTTATCTAACACATCAGAATCTACATTTTCACCTATAAGAGTTATGAAGGGGTGCTTGAGGTAGAAAAATTTAGGTACAATAGAGTTGTTGCCTCCAGAACTATATAGAGGTATGAAAGGTGATCGTGCATATTTCCCCGGTTGCCTACTTCTCCCCGGATGAATAGGGGTTGCTTCATCTGGTATGAGCTCTCCAAACTTAACCAATTGTGTTAAGTTGTCTGGCAACTCAAAGTCATCCAATGTCACTGTAACGACCCGGCCGGTCGTTTTTGGAATTTGTGCCCCGATTCCCTAGTAACTGCTTTCCCCAAGTTTATTTCTGCTATTTTGATTTGCCGGGATGTTCGATTTTGAGTTTCGAAGAGTTTTGGGACACATAGTCCCTAAAGTAGAGCTTAAGTGTTGGAAGATGGTCCATAGTCAGAACAGTGTGAAGACGGCCTCTGAATGGAAATTCGATGGTTCCGTTAGCTCCGTTAGGTGATTTCGTGGTTAGGAGCGTGTTGGGAATGTGTTCTGGAAGTCCGTAGCTGATTTAGGCTTGAAATGCCGAAGTTTGAATTTTTGAAGTCTCCGGTCCGATAGTGAGATTTTGATCCGAGGGTCGGAATGGAATTCCGGAAGTTGCAGTAGCTCCGTCATGTCATTTGGGATGTGTGTGTAAGATTTCAAGTCATTTGATCGAAAGCGTGTTTTGTTAGAATTTGAAGTTCTTAGGCTTAAATCATTGATTAATTCGAGTTTCCGACGTTGTTTTAGGTGGTTTAAGGGTTGGTACAAGTTTGAATGATGTTATGGGATATGTCCATAGGTTTGATTGAGGTCCCGGGGACCTCGGCTGTGTTTCGGATGCTCAACGGAGAATTTTGGAGTTATGAGAAATTGCAGAAATTCTCTTCAGCTGTTGCAGACCATTTTCTTCTTCGCGATCACGTCCCAGCTCACGCGATCGCATAGAGCAATCTGGAGGGGGGCCCAATTCCTAAAACGCGATCGCATGGATTGATTCGCGATCGCGTAGCTCTGCCCTCTCCTCTTCCGTGATCGCAAGCCTTTTCACGCGTTCGCGTAGACCTTTTTCCTGGAGCCTTTATTTTACTCT